TGAGGAACACCAGCTTCAGTAAGCAAAGGAGAGGAAGCTACACCATTATATACCGTGTACTGCATCCTATTGGAGAAGTAAGAGTGCAGCCAGTTGATAGCCCAGGACTCAGTTTGTGTAAGGCTAAGCTTGTTTAACAAAAGGCCTCTAGGTACAGAGTCAAAAGCAGATGTGTAATCAAGGAAAGTACAACGGACATACTTGGCCCCTTTGTCTAAGGAGGATACAATGTTGTGATGAAACACAGCAGCAGCATCCAAAGTACTTCTACCCTGTTTGTAAGCAAACTGCTTTGGATCATTTGAGAAGCTTAGGGAGGGAATGAGTTTTTGTAAGAGTAATTTCTCCATCAGTTTCAAGAAAGGAGAGGTAATGGCAATTGGTCTAAACTTAACACTATCTCCAGAACCAGACTTGGGTACAGGGATGATTTTAATATCTTTCCACAGAGAAGGTACATTATTATTAGAAAAAGAAGTATTGAGAATGCTTGTAAGTGGGTTACTTAAAATATCAGCACATTTCTTTAAAACAATGGCAGGTATACCATCAGGGCCTAGACTCTGGGAAGGTTTAAGAGATTTCAAACATTTAAGAACATCAGAAGTATTGAAACGATGAAAGTCACTGGTCGTGTTATTAGTTAAATTGAAGGCAGAAAGGACATTTGGAGGGCGGATGAAAGATCTATTGAGAGTATTTACATCAATAGAAGAGGCAAAATTATTATGCTTACCACAACCAGTAATTTCTCTAAAAAGCTTCCATATGTTTTCTGAGGTTTTACAAGATAGTATTGTTTGATTATAAATGTTGTTTAGTCTCTTGATTTCAGATTTAATTTGGGTGTTTATCTTCTTAAGACCAGATTTATTCTTTGTCTTGTACAGCTTCTCTTTTTCTCTACGAAGTTTTTTGAGATGAGGGGAAGAAAAACGATCCATTCTTTTGAAAATTATCTGTTTTGGACAGCATATATCAAGACAGAATTTAAGATAGTCAGTCAAATTGGAAATAGTATCATCCAGTTTGTGTTCGTTGAAAAGTTCCCAGTTAGTGTCATTTAGCATACATCTTAGTTTGAGCATATTTTCTTGTGAGTAACACCTTTGCTGTGTTCTCTTGGACAGATTTGAGAAGATATTAAAGTGAGATCTGCTGTATATCTTAGGTAATATCCGAATAATACAATGATCTGAGTTCATGATAGGAGCACGTCGGCGTACTTCATATATTTCCTCATCATTAATGAACACCAGGTCAAGGGTTTTATCAAGTCGAGTAGGGAATTTAACAATATTGGCATGACCTAATGATACGAGGAAAGAACAATCACAGCAGTTAAAATCTCCTGTGACAACTGATAAAGAGTTTTCAAGATGTGTAACGGCAAATTCAGTGAATTCATCAGCAAAATCAGATAGATCAGATGCAGAACAGCCAGGAGTAACATAAATGTTAGAGATGAAGACGTATTTGAATTTGGATAAATGTTTCGGGCGGCATTTGACCGTTATACAATCAATAAAGTCATTAGAGTAAGAAAAACATACATTATTTGAAGTTGACCATTGAGAATGAATGAAAGTTGCAACACCTCCACCTCTTTTCTTTCTGGAGCATAGTCGATCTTGTCTAAACAATGTAAAACCATTTAGGGAAACCAGATTGTCATCATAGAGTTCATGGAGCCATGTTTCTTGTAATGCAACAATCGCCGTATTGTGATAAGTATCAGATGATAAGAGAGACTGGAGATGCATAATTTTGTTGGGAAGTGAACGGCAGTTTGAAGTGACAATAACAGGAATGGTTGTACGATATAAAGGTGTCTGTTTAAGTGCACGCTGCCAGCCAGCATGATGTTTTCTCTTAGATTTATTAGATGCATTATTAGTTGCATGAAAGTCATATGGTTTAAAACGTTTAATGAATGAATTACTGTATTTTATGCGATTTGTGATCATATTTTATTAAAATTAGGAATGAAAACATGACTTATTAGATGCAATATGTTTTGCTGTGCCTATACAGATCGGTTCTGCACACGCATTGAATTTCATTTTCGAATGTTGAATTGAAACACTCTGTTCAGAAACCAGGAACATCCTCAGAGACTTTGTGATGATCGATCGCATCCAATTGTGATTGGCGTGATTGTCCACTGACGAGATGGACGAGAGATTGAAGACGAAAGAAGACAGAGACTTGTATTCTGTGCTGCAGGAGGTGACGTCTGGCTTTGACAGGGACACGAAAACCCAGTAGTGATTTCAATCATGTGTGACAGTATGCACTGTTGACTGTGCAGTGCAACACTGGTTTCTGCTCACACTGTGTGCATGGGTCATTTGAATCCTGGTCTTCACCGAACTGACTTCCACAAGTCACCTGCATTACAATCTACTGAGACAGACAGAGATCAGCTGTTCCGTTATGGGCACAGGGAGTTACGCCTACACGAACTATTTAGAAAGTCCCTGTTTCAATTTTTCTTTGATTTACAGCTTGATTCCACACTGTATTTTTAGTACAAGTATGGAATTTTCAGCATGGATATCGGTAGCCCGAATTTTTTAGGCCGTCCATAGATATCAGGTGTGCGTCGGCGGGGTTTCGAACCTCGGACCATGTGCATTGTCGGCGAAAGTCCTAACCACTGTTCCACGTTGCGTAGGGCTCCACTTTCTTCTATTTTCCGCCATCTTCTTCAGCTGCCTGGCTCCATAATTGCTCATAATCTCTCATCTCTTCCTGACACGATCTCCTCAATGGTCACCCTAGGATGATCCAGTCGTCTCTTCCCATTTGGATTCCCCTCTACGGCCTGCATTTCCTGTGATGCCATTCAACGGTCTCAAGGTATCCTCAATCCATCTCCATTTTCTCTTACATATTTGTTGAGCGATCGGCTCTCCCCTGTTGGTTTGTTCTACTGCAGAGTTTCTTGTTGCTAATTCTTTCTGGCTGGCCACTTGATCATCAGTATGGAGCCAGCCAGGGAAGATGGCAGCTGTTGATGAAAGTCTGCAACCCGTTAGGAATCTTTTTCGTTACACGCTGGTCAAGTTTCTGACTCGTGTAGAGGGACCGATTTGACACTAGTGTTGAAAATGCGAATCTTGTTCTGTATACTGAGTCAGTGCAAGAGATTTTCAAACTGGTTTTAGGTTGATGAAGGTTCGGTAAAGTTAGCACTATGTACATAATTGGACAAAGACTTACGTGGTCCGGAGTTCGACTCATGGCCGATACATTTTAAACCTTGTCTAGCCTGTAGTGTAAGCCCAGTAAAGGAAAGGGATTTTAAGGCAAGCAACCCCTTCATTCTGTAAAACAAAACACTACTTTTATCGAAAGCCAAAGATTAGCGCCTCTTGGAATACAAAGTAATGAGGAAAAGTTTTACGATAACGTTACAAACTGGTAAAGTGCATAAACTTTTTAAGACGCAACTATTTTTATTTCTGCTTCGTCCATCAGTTCTGTACTTGTATGATCCAGCAACTTTTGCAATGAAGCGTGGACAAATTCCTCCGGTTACATTTGTTTTAATCTTAAATTTTATTTATATTTTAAGTAAATCAGATGCAATATTGTGACAAATGCTGAGAATTCCATTCTGTATTATAAGTACTGTTTTGGGAATAAAGTAAATTATTATTGTTATTTAACACACACCCTACCAGCTAGCGATAAAAGCAGTAGACGAAAGAAGAAGAAGAAGAAGTGAGGAAAACTGAAGGAGTAAGGAATGGAAAGATTTTCAGTAACGACAGTAGGCGAATGGGTGATGACATCAATTCATATATTTACTTTAAATGAAGTTATTCTCTAAAAACTCATTCAGTAATGTAAGTTAGTAAATGCAGACACCTGTGTGTAATAAGTAATCACCAAAACTTATTGTATTGTGTATGGATGACGGCGAATAAGTGGAACGGCTATCGAGTGTTTATCTAACTTCGATCTGGCTGGACATCAGTTACTACTGGCCGATGTGAGCAGTGTATCCCACATCAATTAATCAACCAATCAATCAGCGATATATATATACCACCATGTGCTTGGCTTTCTTTATTGATTGGTCACGAGCATATCAGGCATTGTAATCCCAGCAATTTCGGTTTCCAAAGGACATGTTATGACCGGAAATACGACCTAGTGGACTATGAGCGAAAGCTAAATTCATGCGTTGGCTAATCTGTCCTAATCGCGCGTGAACAACGACAACAACATCGTCCGTACGCGAAGACAACAGAAAATATTGGACGTTAGTAAGAGAGCTCTTCCTGTCTCGAACAACAGTCGAAAAAGGTTGACAGTTCTTGCGTACACATATATATACATATGTTTAAAATGCCCTTGAGAAGCCCTGATGCCATTGATAAATTAAGACAGTGAACAACCAATAGGATTTTGAAGGTCATAAGCGTAGGGTGAGAGAAACTCAGGTCATACATGAATAAGTGGAGTGAGAGTTATGTAAACAGACATGTAGAAAATTAGGTCTATTTTATCAGGACACAGCGGGGAAATTTCGCGGTATTTCGTTATTTACAAATTGAGAATTTGATTCAGTGTGTATTACCAGTTCACTTAAGTAGCTAGATAGAATTGGATGGTTTAAACTGATGATTCGGCTTCCTTAACTGAATCACCACACCAGATATGCCGCTAATGAGAGCTGATAAACCGTAGTCCCACCCAGTTACAAATTTATGAGCTTACGTTTGAAAAAATTTTAAAAAAAGTCTTTTAGTAAGAAAATTGTATTTAAACACGAACCATCAACAACACGTATGTATTATTATGGAGAAAGATATAGCGAAAATTTCTTCAAAACAATAATTCCAACATAGGTAAAGCACTCTTCAGTAGTCAAATAAATAAATTCTGTGGATACACGCACACACACACACACATGAATATGTTTGATATGTGATATGCAGAAATCACAAGCATTCCCCTTCCATCCAGACTATTTTTTTATTTCTGTTTTACTTCATATGAGCTTGTTTCCATGATGGTATAGGCTTCAATTGTCTTTTAATCGAAAGTGGAGATGTAAAACGTAGTGCATATTGAGGTCCTCCAGCTTTATCATTTGTACCTTGAAAAATGAAAGAAAGTAAGTGAGGTAGTAAGATGTCTCATAAAGTGGAATCAATTACATTTCATTCCTATAAGTATTTTTTTAAATGATGTAATACTGTAAAAACAGAAGACAAGGGCCAGGAAACAGATCGTTTACTTAGGAAATCAATACATATTTATAGATTTTCATGTACATATTATAGATTATTGTTAGCAGAAGAACACAGTCCTCTGATTGGTTGTTTTTCACAGAAAGTTAATCTTGCATCTCTTTGTGGCTGCTTCTTTAATGTCAGATCATCTATATGCTAACTGTATCCGCCTACGCAAAGCCTTTCTTCTCATTTTTCTCACGACCAATGTGGGGACATAAACATTGACGTAAAATACTGTCTACCAATTTTGAATAGCACCCAGCTCTCACCACAAAGTGACGGCTAGAAAGAACTGGCAACGAGAAATTCTGGTAACAAAACAACCAAGAATCGATTGCTCAAAACAAAGGCAGAAGAAATCGGAAATGGATTGTGCACAATTTGAGGAGACCATCGAATAACATCACGCGCCAGGCCATAGCTCAAGTGGGTCCCAAGTGGGAAACGACGTGTTAGGCTTCTGAGGGTGACATGGAGGAGATTGTGTGAGGAGGAGATGAGAGACTATGAGCAACCGTGTGGACATCTAAAGAGGACCGCAGAGAATACGAAAAGGTGGAGTCGTGCTGTTGAAGCTCTCCATTCTACTCGGAACCAAAGGGAACAATAATATAATAATGTACATAGATATGTGACCGAGAAGTATGAATTTATCCCCTAGTCTTTGTCTACTTATAACTTTCGGGCCATTTCGGTTTACTTTCGTGAAAAATTCTCATGACATTTGAAGTGCATATTCAATTACTCAACATAAATGACACTTAAGAATTCCTTATCTTTACTGTAAATATAACCATAAAACTCGATTAAAGTTGTCTGAAACAAATAACCTTCACAGTTAATTTAATTGCAAAGGAACTTGTAAAAACTATTCCGTCCTCGTTTTAGATTCTCCAACAATGCACGTCCACCTATGCTACACTGACGCGAAACAAACACCCAGGGAAAAATCATGTTAAGTTACTAGTCAAATCAATGAGGAGAAATCAATTGGCCTATAATTATGGGTTTCTATTGATTGGACAATATATTACCATTGCTACCACACACACTACCGGAGGATATCAAAGTCACAGAGGATAGGGAAAAGCAAAATAAACCTTCATTACTCTGTAGTCAGAGTGTAGAGATCTACAACACATTCGATACAAAAAACAAGATCAGAATTCTGTTTAAACAATAAAACGTCAAATCAGTCAGTGCTTCTATATGGTTCAGATACTTGGAGCGTGTCAATAAAACGATTTCCAACAGATACCTTCATTCCATACTAAAGATCAGATGACCAGTCGGAAAGGATAAGCAAGAAGGAATTCTATCAGGCGCGGGGGGTGGGGGAGCGAACCAGCCAAGAACTTGTTACATATGGATTAGACATACAGTGACTGTGAGAAGACCACTAGTGGAACCTAAATGGGAAATGACGACTTGGGTGTCTGAGTGTGGGAACAAGTAAACAGGAAATGAAAGCTTAAGGGGAATTATGGAGCCAGTGTACAGAGTGAAATGGAGATGTGACGTTGAAGCCCCACGTTCTATTCGGAACCCAAGGGAATAATAATAGTAATTATTATTTTATTATATCACGCACTGCTAATAACCAAATATATTTTATTATAATGAAGGGATAATTTAAAAAGCTATTGGTCAGTCAAATTGGAAATTTTTCTTTTTCAATATGGCTAAAGCGTCATATTTAGAAAATTCAATGGGTATATCATATACTCATTTAAATAGATATTGACGAATTACAACTTATTAATTAGGGGGTGAATCAGCTGTCAAATTTCATGAGTCGGTGGCACAGTGGTTGAATGCTCGCCAACTACCCCTCATGTGGTCCAGGGTTCGATCACCGGCCACCGACGTACTTCTAAGCGTCATTAAGCCAGGAATGAAACTGGTAATGAGGGAAGGTTGGGCATGAGGCCAGCAGCAACCCCATCCCGTAGAATTATACACCACTGCTACCGCACATTCAAAGTTCTAGCTAGAAGCCCTATGTTCCAGTGGGAATGTAAAGTGATAAAATAATAACATTCTGTCAAATTTCGCCATCTGCAGAGTAAGTAAGTCACAGTTTATATATATATATATATATATATGTATAATATTCCTTTACGTTCCGGCTGGAACATAGGGCTTCAAGCTAGAGACTTCAAGTTTCGGTAGCAGTGGTGTTTACTTTTACACGATGGGGTTACTAGCCTCATGCCCAACCTTCCCTTTTTACCAGTTTTATTACTGGTGTAGTGAGGTAAAGGAGTGCGTCGTCGGCCGGTGATCGAACCCCGGACCACATGAAGCGTAGTTGGCGAGTATTCTGCTGCTGTGCCACTGATGCACACAAGTTCATAAGTAAAGTCCAATTTATTTAGTAATATAAAACATTTACCTGATAATCTAGCGCCTCCAAATGGTTGTTGACCAACTACAGATCCAGTCGATTGAACATTTACATAAAAGTTACCAGTTGTATCAATAAGACGATCAGTTGCAGACTTAATGAACGCTTCATCTTGAGCAAAAATAGCACCTATATATATGTATATTAAGGAAACAATAAACAACTATGTAGTGAATTCTCGGATAAATTCAATTTACTTGTATAATATACACTGTAATCAATATAACGATATTCTCTTCTAGCAATCAAAAAAAGCAAAACAGACATTCATGCAAGGACAAAATTTAGTGAGCTTTTTTGTACTTCCAAGGATTTTTATCTTTACAAACGACACTGTTGCCCTACAGGCCTATTATAAAGGTGAAAAATGTTGTCCATACTATTGATTGTGTTCATACATAAGATCCAACGTAATAGATATTTTCTTTAGTACCTGAGTTTGAGGAGGATTGATTAATAGGAGGGGTCATTAATCATAGCTACTTATATAGTACACACACACACGCTGAGAAGACCATTAGGTGACGTCACTTGATAGACTCTCGAATGGAACACGAATGGTAAACGGCATATTAGGAGTCTAAGAGTGGTATTCAAGAAATCGTGTGAGGAGGAGACGACAGTTTATGATCAACCATGGAGCCAGTTGAAGAGAACTTCAGAAAACAGAGTGAAATGGAACCCAAGAGAATAGTAATAATAATAATGATATTACCTCTCTAAAGTATCGATTGACCATGGACCACTTGAATAACTTCAATTCCGTTCTACTTTTAAATGACGATAAAATATTATTATTGTATTATTGTTCCCTTGGGTACCTAGTGGAACATAGGGCTTCAACTGCACGTCTCCACTTGCCACTTCTGTCTTCTGCTGTACTTTTCACCTACATCCATGTTAGTCCATACTGTTTCGACTCCTCTTCACACGATCTTCTCCATATCACCCTTGTACCGACGACCTACTTGCCGCTTGCCTTACAGGTTCCACTCGAGCGACGGCCTGAAGCACACGCGATGTCACCCAGCGGCCTTCTCAGCGAGTGTCCAATCCATCTCAATCCACTTTCTCCTGCATATTTGTTGGGCGATCGACTCTCGTCTGTTGGTTTGTTCCCATAGTTTCTTGTTGGTGATTCTTTCCGGCCCAGTCATCTGATCTTCAGTATAAAGCGAAGACAGTTGTTGTTGATAAAGGTCTGCAACAGGCTGTTGGAAATATTCTTCGTGACCCTCCCCCCAACAAGTTTCTGATCAGTATAGAAGAACTGACTGACCTGACGTTTGTATTGAAGATCCGAATTCGGTTGTTGATGCTGAGTAACGAATAATATCCTCTCACTTAAATTTGCATAGATAGGACAACCAACATAGAACTCTTCTTGAGGAACGTGACAGAAATAAACTAATGAATTCTACTTCAAAAAGTAGGTTTGAAATTGATCATTTTAGACGATCGATCTTCAAACAATCAATCACTAGTTTGAAAACTGCAGCAGGACAGTCCCAACATGGCTAACATACAACACACGTAGCTAGTTATAAACAGCATGAAGATGAATATGGTTTCTAAGTTGCATAAAAATGAGTTACACTGTCTAGTGGCTATTAACACTGGATGTGTAGCTCTCACAGGCTTATGCCATCGACTTTCAGTAAGTAGATCTCGGGTTCGAATCCCCCCTCACACAATGTGCGACTCATAGCCTGAAACATAAAATACCTGTTTAGGGGAATGAGTTCAAATAGACAAATGGAATTATTGAATAAAAGATACTCCAGCTTAAGTTCTAAGCATTTTGAAGGTCTAGAATCACTACGAATGGTTGATTTGAGTACACCTACATATTAGGGAAAAGAGAAATCAAATAGTTTCTTGTTGTTGGGTAAATCCTTACAGTTTACAGTATAAATAATGATAAGAATAAAACGTTAATAAGAAAACTATATATATACAGTAATTCACTCACCAGTCAATGCATACTCTGTGGTTGTGTTGACCAAGTCTAATGTTTTATCGACTTCATTGTCACGATACACGTATGCACATACAATTGGTCCGAAAATATCATCCTGAAAATAGAGGGAAATAAAAGTCACCGATTTTCATCAGTGTCATATGTTTTATAAGTTATCGAATAATACTCACGAGCAGAGCAAGAAAGATATGTACAGGATGATCACTTACAAAAGGACTTGAATAAATTCATGATGTCTTGACGGAGGTGGGGTATCCGAGTAGTTTCATAAAGAAACATATAAAAACACTGGGTAGTAAACCTGAGAACTGTGACAATATGGAAGAAACCTCTGTTTATTAAGTTACAATTTAATGGGAACTTATCAAGTGAGATTTTGATTCTAGATACTTTCCAGAAGTATACGAAGAACGTCTTATGCAGCCAACCTATGTTTGTCATTCTCTAGCCAACGTATGATTGGGAATCAAACAAAGGATAAACAAGATAGTTTTACCGCATCTATGTTTATTTATCAATTCAACTGTACCTGCGATGATAGTAATGTTGGGCATAATACTAGACAGCTTAGCCAACGTGTTACTGAACATCTCCCATCGTGGTTCGGCAATGGACAGACAAAAACCATATGTAGCTTGGTTTTGTCATATTTAGTGGAAATGAAAGGATTCAAGGAGATTTCATCGCATCTCACCGAATCTTCCCAGTGGACTTCGTATTCGTCTACCGCATATAGCTGAGACAATAGGCGTTCGAAATATTCAGCCTAAACTATGCATTCAGAAAAAGTTCGTAAAGTCATTATCCCTCCTTTGGCCTATTGAGACATAACCAACTGATGACATCACCACCACCCCTTACTTATATTTTCAGTCCCTCTCTTATCATACCTTAATCTTATTTCATTTACTTTCCTCACAATCTAGCAATACTTACATCGGACTATTTGTTTTTCTTAACCTTTATCCACTACTTCTACCTGAACATTTGTTTGTTTAATTATGCTGTCTTTCATTATTCTTGTTATCACAGATCATCTCACTTTCCCACATTTGTTGTTAATAGAATCATTATTATTGTTATTATTGATTGCACAATTTATATGCACAATCTTATAATCCTATTGATAAATCGCCATGATTGGTTTATATTTGAATATTTATTTGTAAAGTTATGCATATTAGAGGTAAGCCTGATGAGATCTAATTGAAAACAATATTGTTCGCTTAAATGTGTTGTTCTAAAGAATACTTGATAAAATCCTACATAACCAAGACAGAGTAAGGAGGGTGGAATAAACTCTTTTCAATAATTTACAAATTGTCAATTGACTACCACATTATACTGTAATCCTACAGTTCTATTTCGTGCAATCAATAAACAAGGTGATAAAAGAGGCAATCACATTAAAAATTGTTTTAGTCAAGGGAATCATTTACGAAACAATTAATAATCCCACCAATATGAGAGAATAATGACTTAGACAATATGGTCAATATTGTCAGTTTAAACTTTTAAATGATCTGAAAACTTCTAGGCGTGGTACAGATCGCATCAATTTCCGTCTGTGGTTAAAACAATAGACAGTTACTAGGATGTTACTGTTTGGCTGATGGTGGACTAGCAGTGGAATGCAGGATGCGCATTTCATCCTATTTGCGATCCGTCATCTGGATGATGTTCCCACCGAGACTCGAAACTGCACCCATCATTACAAAAGATAAATCGTTGTACACCAGGTCACTAGGTCACAAGAGTCACCTCTTGTGCAATGGGTATGAGTTGTTATTTGTTTATTCAACAGACAGGAAATGCTAGTTAACTCAATAGTGGTCTACTGAGAAATGTGTAACGATAACTACTTTACCCTGGTTATGAAAGACATCAACGGTAAACTAGTATCTCATTCACTAGCTACAAACAAACGGTACAGTACTACAAAATGTGCTGTCCTCCATTGTTATACTGAATTCTGTCATAAACCACCATCCACAATGAGTTGACTCCATAAATCCTAGTCTCAAACCTGATTTAGATTTGGATATATTTACGTACATTGAAGAAAAAACTATTAAATCCAAACAGAATCACAAATTCAAAGCGAATAAACTGTTACATATGATATCAAAAAAGAAAGAATCATCATTCGGTGATAAATGAAAGCCAACTTAAGGAATCATTTTATTTAGCCAGTGCTGTTTGGCTATAGAATTCAAAATGCGCGTCTCATCCTAATTAGGATGTCCACCTGTGTCGAGACTTGAGCTCATTCAGCACTTATCATCTCAAACTCCAAAGCTTCTGAAATAATAGAGAACATTTATAGCTCAGATGGATGTTTTTGATTTGGTTGTGGTTAATGCTGAATACGTTGTCTAGAGGTATAATGAGAGTTTCATAATTAAACCATCCAGGTCAAAAAACTTAATAACGTGAACATCGGATAGTTATCAACTAGATTTCTGAGCCACGAGTACGGACACTTTCGTACTAGCAGCCGACATTTCGACATATGCAATGTATTCCACTCCAGTAAAATCAGACAAAGATAAATTGTTTATTTATTTTTATTTTGATTATAGCTTGAAACCACACCGTATTCTTGGTACAAGTATGGAATTTTCAGCATGTGATATCGGTAGCCCAAATTTAGCAGGCCGACCATAGATATCAGGTGTGCGTCGGCAGGGTATCGAACCCCAGAGAATCCTAGCCGCTGTGCCACCAACGCACGAAATAATTTCAAGTCATCTTCATTAAATTTTTGTTAAACCCTATCATTTTTATCAAGGAGGATGGATAGATCAGGTTTAAGATACACATGATAAACATTGTTGTTACATGGCTGGAGGCAATCAACAGGAATTCTTAAACACATGTTTTGTGCTTGTAGACACACGTTAGTAAGGCGTATCTGCAATCTTGAAGGAACTCATCTCCCTTCTGAGATTCGAACCTGAGTCAACCAGTGCTGCAGTCGGAAATGTTGCCACAAAGCTGTCTGAGCTCGCGACTGACCTCCTGTAGGACTGACTGCACTGGATATTTGATCGAAAACTAGGCAGTAACTAATGTCATGAGTTTAGTCTTTGGTGTGTTAGTGCAGAGTGAATTCTATCAGTCATCTTATCTCAGATAACTAAACAATGAAATTCAATCGTAAACGAAATATGAAAGAATGTTACCCCTTAAACTAGTCTATAAAGAAATTCATATCATTTTAAAAAGATATTAAAATGAGCAACATTCACCTTCATTAATTTATCCGTTGGATTCTTCGTTTTTAATATTGTCGGTTCAATAAAATAGCCGACTTTATCATTCCCATGACCGCCAGCAATAACTTCAATATCTGCACAACTTGATGCATATTGTAGGTAACTAGAAATTTTTTTGAATGCCTAAAATAAAATATACATTTATTTTACTTATAATAGTTGGTTGAGAAAATTTACATATATATAGCACAACCGAAAGTAGAGAAATTTGATAGAATACTGTCCACCTCTGATTATACACACATAGAGCCAGAAAACAACTAATAAGAGATGTATCGTTCCAGAGATGAATTAAAACAAGTTTGAACCAGAAGAAAATGACCAAATCACCAAAACAAAGCACTTGTATCACCGTCGTTTTAAGCGTAGATCTATCAGGAACTATCAAGTTACCACTGGTTAGTTTTTTCATTACTTTGCTTCCATAGCTTGAGCTGGACAGCTGTTTCGTTACAATTTGGGACTCCTCATCAGTACGCACCCACCGCCGAGACTGGAATCTAGGACCAGGCAAGCTAGCTCGTAGACCACTGAGCAGCCACTGGGACCTGATCCAGTGGGCAGTCCATGAATTCCAACTTCTGCCGATTCTTGACATAGCGCGACCACTTCGAAATGTCTTCTTCGATGAGTTACTGTCTCACCTTTAACCTGCTGTACCCTACTGGTCACGGCTTCCCACTAGAACCCCAGGTTAAACGCCTGAATAAGGCCAGTCGCTAGTGAGCATCAGATTAATTAATTTCCAAGTGTTGGTTTTGTAGGGATAGTTTGTTTGATTGGTTGTAGGATTTCATCATGAGCTGATATCATTTTATCATATAACCTCACCAACTTTCATAGGGTTTTAACTGGTCCTTTAAATAAATAAATAATTATCACTGTCAATTGAATCTTAAGCTTAAGAACGGTTGTTTGTAATAATACATCACTTGTACGCATACAGCTCAAAAGAGTGTAAATATATTTCAACAGGTGATCCAATACCAATTAGTTTATAGGAATACAATTATTTAAAACAAAATCAGTTCTAGTGAAAAATACAAGAATCTTCTCCTACAGTTAGCTACAACGTTTGAAGAAAGGTGGAAAATATCACAAACATTATATAGAGCCTGTAGTACTGTCACGAAGAGAAATCAATAACAAATAACTTGATAACATAAATCAGCAAAATATGCAAAAGCTTTATCGACTTACGTGTCATCTGTGTATGTCGTCTTTAACTAACTGAAGAATGAGGATAATCGAGATGGTAGACAAGATCGCCTATTCTTACTTAAGTAGTATCTCGATCAATTGTCTGACTAACTTTCAAGTACTGATATTACAATACATCGACTACATTCAAAATGTTTATTTAGAAATTTCTCAAATTAAAACGATACACTAATGTGTTCTAGCGTAGCAGTACAATCACTTATTGTATGCAACACAATAACCAAAAAAACATCCTAAAGGATAAATCACTCATTGCGAGATTAAATGACAATCACAGGTAAGTTCATAAAATAAAAGCAGCTCAATTGTTGATCAAAAAGTCTCTATAAAGAAAACTATAAATATAGCATCCCATCTTATGCTTAAAATAAACTACGAAAATAGATATTTATAAAAACAAATATCTTATAAGCAGTCAGAAAGAGATCACATTACATTAGATGGACTAAATGTAGGGAATGAAATTGGTTACTTTCTAATTATGAGAATTTTTGACAACATGAAATTCCACACTTCTCCGACCCTATTCACTACTGACTGATTATAATCAGAAGAGGATTCCTCTCAAGAGTTAAACTACTGAACATAAATTCACATTTACTAAATAGAGGTATTATCAAAATAAAAACGAAGTTTATGATGAAAGTATTCCTTAAATAAAGATACTAGCTTTGATAGCGTGAAATATTCCCATATTATGAATTAAAAGTCAATCTGAACGAAGAATATTCTTTTCAATAATTTCTCTTCATGTTCTTATTATTATTGCTCCCTTGGGTTCCTAGTGGAACATAGGGCTTCAACTGCACGTCTCCATTTGCTTCTGTCTTCTTCTGTACTTTTCACCTGCATCCATGTTAGTCCATACTCTTTCAACTCCTCTTCACACGATCTCCTCCATGTCACCCTTGGACGTCCCACACGCCGCTTCCCTTTCGGGTTCCACTCGAGGGCTTGACGCGCGATGTCACCCAGCGGTCTCCTCAGCGAGTGACCGATCCATCTCCACTTTCTCCTGCATATTTGTCGGTTGGCGATTGGTCCTTGTTTTGTTTGTTAGTGCCCACAGTTTCTTGTTGGTGATTCTTTCCGGCCCAGACATCTGATCTTCAGTATAGAGCGAAGACAGTTATTAATAAAGGTCTGCAACCTTTTGGAAATATTCTTTGTAACCCTCCAAGTTTCTGATCCGTATAGAAGAACTGACTGACTTTACGTTTGTATTGAAAATCCGACTGGATTTTGTTGTTGATGGTGAGTTGAGTGACGAAGATTTCTAGATTGGTTTCACGTTGATGAATGTGTTTCTCGCCTACCCGATTCTCGTTCGATTTGACATCCTCGTCCGTTCCGACTGCCTGTAGTTGAGACAGTGGTCCCTAGATAAGTGAAGTGAATGAAGTAACCTCTTTCAAATCCCTCCCGTTGATGGTGATTGACGCTGGATGTTGGTGCTGCTGTTGTTGTTATTGGTTGGTTGGTTATTTTCATAACCTCCGTCTTGTCTATGTTCACCTGGAGTCCTGTCTTCTCCGGCTGCTTCTTCGACCAGTTTGTCGGTTTTCGCTTGTAAGTCTTCGATTGTGTGTGACATCAAACATAAATCATCCACGCGCGAAATCCAGGTCTTCTAGGTTCTTCACGTCGGTCCAGGATATTCCTGTCTTCTCGTTTCCCACTGTCTGACGCATAATCCAGTCCACCACAATTGGGAATATCATTGGTGATAATAAGCACCCTTGTCTGACTCCTGTGTTTACTCCAAACGCCCCGCTGAGTTTTCCGCTGTGGATCACTTGACATGTGCCGTTGTCGTACAGCTGTTGAATAAGGTTGATGAATATTTGGGGCGCTGCACGCCTTAGTAATTTCCAAATTACTTCACGATCAACGCTGTTGAAGGCCTTTTCAAAGTCTATAAAGTTGAGGTAGAGGTTTGATTGCCATTCCATGCTTTGTTCGATGATGATGCGTAGAGCTGCAATTTGATCAGTACATGATTTGCCTTTCCTGAATCCAGCTTGTTCTGGTCGGAGTTCTGTCTCCAGTCTGTCTGTCTGTTTGTCTGGATTCAACATAGAACTTCGCACCGAAGTGCACCAGTTCGAGTTGCCACGTTCCAAATAGCACACAGAGGTAGACAAGAAGATGAGTGAAGAGAATCAATACAGTCTGACAAGTATAAGAGTGAAACAGAATGGGTAATGGTAGAAAGGAATATGAAAGATTACAGAGACTGAATACATCTGCGCTGGCCATTGACAACGATTTGAGCCATGTCACCTATTGTCTCCAGCCATTGATTCCTAGAGTCCCGAGGGCCCCAACCCGGAAGTCTGCATCTCCCTACCTGACTCAGTTTAACTGTCAAGGATTTCATGGATTGATGCCATGTTTTTGTTTGGCCACCACTTACTCTTTTCCAACCTGCACCTATATCAGCTAGCAATGCCCGTCGGGGGAGGCGACGGTTAGGCATGCGCAGCACGTGACGTAGCCATCTCGGTCTATGTAACTTTATAGCCTCGTCGATTGATTTTCCCTGTTTGCCCAACACTCTACGCCTAACGTCAACATTACTTACCTTATTAAACCACCTAACGTGAGACAGAGATCGCAGACATCTATGATCGAAAGCAGTCAACCTTTTCATGTCTTCAACTCGTATTGGCCATGTTTCAGAGGCATAGACAAGGATGGAGCGAACTGCTGAGCAGTACACACTCTATCTCCAGTGCGTCCTTTAATCTCTCCAGGATGATGCGACTCAGGATTTTACTTGGCGTCGAAAGGAGCATGATTCCTCGCCAGTTCTTGCAGAGTGAGGCGTAAGTCGCCCTTCTTTGGTAGTTTCACGAGGTAACCTTTCCTCCAGTCAGTAGGCACCTTTCCCTCCTTCCAGACCTTTTGCAATAATGGAGTCAGCATGTCTGCTGTAGTCTCTGGGTCTGCTTTCAGTGCTTCAGGGGGTATTCCATCTGGTCCAGCTGCTTTTCCAGCTTTCAGAAACTTGACTGCATTCAAGACTTCAGCTCCCGTTGGAGGATTGGTGTCAACTTGCAGTTGTGTGCGCGCTGTTTTTGGTATTTCTGGACGGGTTGCAGGTGATGGTCGGTTCAAGAGTCCTTTGAAGTGATCCGCCCATTGTTTAATCTGTTTTTCTTCCTTGGTAATGGGCTTCCCTTGGCTGTCTTTTATAGGTTTCACTTGTGTTGATCTCCTCCCGGATAGAGATTTGGTTGTCTGATATAGTGTCCTCAGGTCCCTTTTCCCTGCTGCCTTCTCAGCTTCAGTGGACAGGTTGTCGTAGAATCGTCTTTTGTCCTTCCTAGCACTCTTCTTCACTTCTTTGTCCAGTGCTGTGTAACTTGAGCTCAGCGTCTCCTCCTCATGTCCGTCCTTGTATTGAATCATTTTCTCTTTCACCATTCTCCTCTCTTCTATTAATTTCCAAGTGTCCGTTGAGAGCCATTCCTTGTCTTGTCTCCTCTTTCTTCCTAGAACCGTTGAACACGTTTCGTTGAGAATCGCCTTCAGAGACTTTCAAGGTTCTTCCACGCATGATTCTTCAGTGATGTCGCGTAGTGTTTCCTGCTTTGCTCTGACAGTTGCAGTGAAAGTGTCCTTTGTGGTTTTGTCCTTCAGTTTCTGAGTGTTGAACTTGCATTGTGGCCTATCCCCAGCTATCCTCGAGGCTTTTATTTTCACCTTGAAAGTCCCTTGTACTAGATAGTGGTCTGAACCTACATCTGCTCCTCTCCTCGACCTTTTGTCCAGTAGGCTCCATCTCCACTTTCTTGAAATTGAGATGAAGTCTATCTGGATCTTGGTGTTTCCATCTGATGAAATCCATGTCGTCTTGTGTATATCCTTGTGTTTGAACACACTGCCACCAATCACCAAATCATTGAAGGCGCAGAAGTCTGAGAAGAGTTCGCCATTGTCGTTCATTTCACCGAGGGCCTCTCGACCCATGGTGAGTTCTCTTCTTGTATTGTCTCCTCCCAGCTTCGCATATCATATCACCCATCAGGATTTTGATATCGCCGTTCGGGACGTTGTCCATTATTGCTTGTAGTTGTCTGTAGAACGCCTCCTTCTTCTCTTGTTCTGAGACGTTTGTAGGCGCATAGCATTGAATAACTGTAACCTTACTTCCTTTCGAGTTGAACCTGGCTGTCATTATCCTGGAGGACATTGGTTCCCACTGCATGAGAGCTTTGGCTGCTGTTGGTGACATCATGATGGCCACTCCCTCAGTGTGCTCGTGGTTGTCCTCTGGGTGGCCGGAATAGATTATTGTCTCTCCAGTTGGTAGTTGGCACCTTCCAGCTCCGTTCCATCTGCTTTCGCAGATTCCCAACACTTCTATTCTATATTTACTTTTCAATTAGATCCTCATCTCTGGCTCTACTCTAATATATATAGCATTTTAATTACAATACACAACAATTTACCAATCAAGTGGCGATATGTTTGTTAACAATAATTAGTCGGTGTCAAAATGTCAATGGGGTGATAATTAACGAAGAAAAATTAATATATATAATTAAAAGGTGGAAATGGTTACAACATTATGCATTATGTAATCCACGTGTTGTAACCATTTCCACCTTCTAATTATATATATTAATTTTTCTTCGTTAATTATCACCCCATTGACATTTTGACACCGACTAATTATTGTTAACAAACATATCGCCACTTCTATTCTATACCTTCTCATTTCAGCGGCCATCTGGGCAGCCTTTCCAGTTTCGTACATTGTACGAACATTCCAGGTACCCATCCTTACTTTTGCTTTCATCGGAAGAAGGCATATCGGCTGACTGGCTTCCCGAAGGCTTTCACCAGCCTGCGTCATTTCGCTTCTCCGATTCCAGCAAAAAATAAGGTTATTGTTTATGTTTTTAGAATTTTTAATTTATTTATTCGTTGAAGTTTCTATAGCGATTTGGTTGTTTTACATGGATGGAGTTGCTAGCACCACGCCCCAACCCCCCTCTTTACCAGGGCTTGGGACCGGCGAGAAAACTAGTAAGCTAGTAGCCTAGCAATCTGGTAATCTGGAGAGGTTCTTCAAGTTCTTACAATTATAAAATATAATGCATTTGTTGTCGTTACAATAAAGGCCAGTTATACGGCAGATACATTCCTTTAACGTAGAATAACAGATTAGTTATGGGGTGTCAGTCAAAATAAATAGTCGTATTTGTGTGACAAACGTGCTAGGCTGAAAACGATCACAAAATATTGTAAAACTGGAGACAATGGTAGTGATTAATCATAATAGATTTGTAGAGTGTGGGGTAGGAAAATTGACAAGTCAGTTCAAGGTTATCGAAGGTGTCAGGAATGGCTAGTACAAAGTGGTCTGTGTTAAACAGGAGAGAGTAAGACTGCAATGAGAGGTTCATAATGAAATAACGAATATGTGAAATGAAACAGGTGAAGGCATATATTGAGAAAAGAGATAATATCACTAATAATAAGTTCGGACAGTATAAATGGAAAATCCAGTAGTATTGAGAGAATGTTTGCATGAAGAATATAATTTATGACGAATAATAATAACTGTTAGTAAAAAGTTTGAGCATTGTGGATTAGATCAAATAAAGTATAATTATGTTTCAATAGTTTACACACAGTGATAAGTTTTGTTATTGGTAATACTGCCCGTGTTCACACCACTGTTGGAATTGTTTTATTCCATAAGACAAAACTTATCATTGTGTGTAAACTATTGAAATATAATTATACTTTATTTAATAATAACTGTAATAATAATATTTGTAATAATAAGCAAAGGAAAAAAACCAAGAGGGTTAAGGGGAAGGAGCACTCTTGGTGAGAGGAGGAATCATCAATCCAAGTCTGGCCACGGTAGGAACATAACTGGCCTTTATTGTAACGACAATAAATATCATATTTTATAATTGTAAGAACCTGAAGTAGAGAAATTATTGATAAGAATATTCTTCGTTTAGATTGACTATTAAAGATACTAGCATTTAGTGTGTTTATGAAAGTAAACGCGTAGTTAGTAATTCTTGGCTGCCCTTATCATGCAATTTACTATCTGCCTCAAACACCTGAGACAGAAAGAGCATTAATGTTGCTTGACCACAGGGCCTAGGGGAAAACTACTTGAGTCAAGCAACATATAACCTGTTTTCGAAGTAGTTTTTAGAACGATATCCAAATAAAGACCTTACTGCTAGCTACGGACTGCCGCAGAGTAAGTCGAGAGGCACAATTTTTAAGGTCGAACACCCCCCACAGCGAAGAGGCTGTATAGTTGACATGCTGGCAGTCCGACGGAAACACTTTACACCCCTATGACTTCATTTTCAGACTTCCAACACAGTGTAAGCGACTTACAGATTTCTTTTCTTTAAAAAGCCTGTTTACTCTACTGTATCGGGAGTAGATATAATCACCTAGACGAGTATTTTATGAAATACAAAATATATAAATAAGTTGTGTAAACAAAATTATCATTGACGTTGACAGAAGCTAGTGTTCCGTTTTAGGTGTCAGTAGTGGAATGCTCTCCAGCCAACTGGGAGGCACAGATGTGATTTCCAGCGGACGTACACCTAGACCACGCCTAGTTCACCAACCTTTAATAAGTACGGGAAATAGGAAAGGTTGGGAGTCGGACTAGCGACCCATCCCGTGAAAAACAACACTGCCCCTACTGCGACCTCCACTGGAAACTTAGTTATGCTTAGTACAAAAAGGTGATTGGGCTACCTCTGAGTAACATTGAAGTAAGAAATCATTTAATTTGTCACCTGATTATAAATCTCACCACTAGAAACAAAGCAAGAATAAAATGGAAAGCAAACAAATCAATGAAAAAAAACACAACACCAAATACGTATTTACATTTTGATCTATAACAGCCGAAGTGAATGTATCTGAATCAAGCGGCGACCCAACTTTTAATTGTTTATAGTGACTGAGAAGTAGGCCTTTAAATTTTCCCCACAAACTCTCTGGTACATAGAGACGACTGCATGCACTACACTTTTGTCCAGAGTATTCAAATGAACTACGAATAGTGCCTACAGCAGCTTCTTCTAAATTAGCAGATGGATGAAGAAAGTGATAATTTTTGCCACCACATTCTAGACAAGAAAAAGAAAGAAAGAGAAAATAATCACAATTGAACTAATAAATCTTATGTAATTCTATGTATATAGATGTCGACAAGTACTGAAATCAATAGGATGCCTAAAGAGCAAGTAAACAACTAACTACTATTACCAACAGAATAACAGTTCTTGGGCTATGTGACACATAATCCCCGACAATATGCTTCTGTTGTTATTCAGACCTTGAACGGGCAACCGATAATCAGTGAGTTCATGGATGGATGTCATGTACTTGTCTAGTCACCCTTGAACTTCTTCCTCACTATTATATTGTTACTCTGGTGAACAAAACAAGTTGGGATAGACGATCGTAAAAACAAATAACACATATCACAGTTACCAAAGTTGGTTAAAACTTATAACTACAATTTGTAAAAAATTACATTTATAATATCTCAGCGAGATTGAAATGAGTACTTGCAACATTTCGTTCGGCAATCTGGTCCGAACTTCTTCAGGGAAATTAATCGAAATTAACAGAACAGAGGTTTATATATAAAAGGAACATTTCTTGTTTTTAAAAACTTTGTTCAATCATGAGTCATGAAACAGATATCAACATGTATAATAAACAAAATTGTATGAGCTGTGATCAAATTTTGACCTCGAACTTACAAATATTGGTCTACCTTTGATAAACACTTTAAACAGAGTGTGTATGTGTGTGTGGGTGGGTAAATAATTGTAAAACATTTGTTGACGTCTCCATAAGAAAATATAGACAATCGGGAATTTTGACCAAGTATTATTCATTAGTGATACATATCCATTTTTATTTATGAATCAAGATTCGCTATGTATCAGCTAACATCACAGCTTCATGTCTATTCCAACTGTTAGTATCTAGAATTTTATGATCAGACGTATTTTCAAAATTATGACGTTTAGGATTAGAGTTTAGTTGAAGCACTCTGTCGAAGTTATTGCTTTGTCTTCTTTTTGAAGGTTGAGCTGCTTTATTTGCGTTGTCAGGTGACTCGACAGCTGCGGATTTTGGATATGCATTCTTATGGAGACGTTAACAAATGTTTTACAACTATTTACCCACCCACACACAAACACACTCTGTTTAAAGTGTTTATCAAAGGTAGACCAATATTTGTAAGTTCGAGGTCAAAATTTGATCACAGCTCATACAATTTTGTTTATTATACATGTTGATACCTGTTTCATGACTCATGATTGAACAAAGTTTTTAAAGATAAAAAGTATACACATGAATAATTTTTGGTTTAAAATGTCAAGTAGATCAAGTGGAAAAGATTCAGAATGAGAGTCGTAATAATAATAATGATAATAACAATAATAATAAAAATAATTGAAGTAATAAGGGAAAAGTACATAAAATAATAAAATAAATAAATGTCTATCCCTCTACGGCCAAGGCAGCAGTAGGGATTGTACATACTTCTTTTGTACACAAAGGTCTGGCTTAAAGTCATGAATTGCCAAGGCCTCAGCTGTCTTTAGAAGTCTGTAACGAAGAAAACGCGGGAAGTTGGCATGAATTCTGTATATGACCTTGAAATCATGGTCAGGGTTGACCGAGTGACAGGAGTCGATGAGGTGTTCTAAGATAGAGCTTCGCACACATTTCCTTTCTCCTTTGTAAAACCAAGCTGGAATATGTTCTCGTATCCGTGTGGAAAGCATTCTCTGACTACGGCCAATGTACCTTGCTCCACAAGAGCAGGTGAACTGGTAGATGCACAAGTTTTTAAAAACAAGAAATGTTCCTTTTATATATGAACCTCTGTTCTGTTAATTTCGATTAATTTCCCTGAAGAAGTTCGAACCAGATTGCCGAACGAAACGTTGGAAGTACTCATTTCAATCTCGCTGAGATATTATAAATATAATTATTTACAAATATCTACTCACTCGGCGCCCAAATATTTTAGAACTATTCTGTCAAATATTGACGGCAGTTCATTTGAATTATAACTACAATGACTAAAATACTTCTCCTGCCTAAAACTATGCATTACTTGCATTTTTGCAAGCGATGATTGACTACAATGCAGATAGTTCTATGAGGGTAATTGGAGAATCATTTGAGTTGATTTACTTTCCACCTTATCTTTTTACACTTTTAGTTTCATACTACCTATTGCAAATAAGTAGACGAGCCATGTGATCCCATTTTTAATTTATCAACATGGTTGTTCACTTCCGTTAACAAGGCTAAAACAATTATAAATGGCATTCAGTAGCAATGTCTAATTCCAGTCCAAGAATAAATGATACCGTCAAACTGACAGAGTGGCGATGAATAGTCTTTGAAAGCCTGTTCGCGCTGGTACATTTGTTGCAGACGCAGAAACAACAACGACAAAATAACAACATCGGTTATTACAATCAATGAAACGAAATTTCATGTCAAGTAGATATGTTAATGATACTTTCATTTAGTGTAGTTTTTTAATAATAATAATAATATAACAGCTTTATTCCAAACAGTATTTGTGGTACAGGTATGGAATTTTCAGCCAGCATTACAATATATTGCATCTAATTACCTCATAAATTTTATAAGATTTTTAAAATCAAAAAAGGAAAAAATAAATAAATAAAAAAAGAACAGCGTAGCGTTTACATTTCAAACAATGCACCACAGGATATGAAATATAAAGTTGATGTGTGATAGAAGATGAGAACAACAGCGTAATAGTAACGAGGAAAGGAAAACAAAAACTAATGGGACTATTTGTTAGAGTGCCGCCGAAGTAAGTTTATCGTGTCATACCTAACGGATTTCTCATCACATAACAGCTGTGCCAGATATGGTATTGTGGAGTTTTTGTATTTGGTAGTCCTAGCATATAGCCTCCTATAGCTACTTCTAGTTCTACCAGATGAAATGAAAGGAGACAGCTGCGTATATAGAGGATCCTCGGGGTCTGACAATATTGTATTCGCTAGTTTCTTACATTGTTTTGTTTTTCTTTATTACTCCTTTGTCTCACACCTCTGCTCACTGTTTCTGTTATGCTTTTCTTGTACTTTCTTCTCTTGCTTCGCGTGCTATACGGAGTGTGGCGACTTGAAATTCCGCACATTTGTGCAAAGTTCCATGTCGAAAACAGACAGATAGACAGTTTCTTACATGACATAATATGTCTATCCACAATAATGTTAACCAGTTGGTTTAACGATATCCCACTTGCCATACTAACGGCTTTTAATGCCTGGCCTTCTCAGCAAAGCAAAGTCTTTCTTAAGTAGTCCAGGAAAGATTAATAGGGAGCAGTAAAGGGGGATGGGTAGAATACAAGAATTGACAAACTGAGAAATCAGAGACTGGTTTATGCCAGATTGCCTAAATTTCCTAACGTAGAACGTTAAGCGAAACATCTTTCTAGTAACTAGCAAGATGTGGGAGGACCAGGAAAGATCGGTGGAAAAACTCAGACCAAGGTACTTGACATTGGATGTATTTTCAACCTCTGTGTTGAAAAACTGATACAAAACAATTGTTTAAAACACTCCATTGAGGTCAATAAGAAAATTAGAATGAATAAAACTCCACTTTTAGATTTAGATATTACACGATGAAGTGATGGGCTCGTTACGCATAGATTTATCGCGAAAAATGCTGTGGTCATTATATTTCAGCCTGTATAGTCGTTAACTCCTTTCCTATTTCCCCTTTGTCATTCCTTCTTCTCTGTTAAATTTATACTACTTGTCCCTAGTAAGTAGTATAAGTTGAATTCGCTAATTCTTAACCATTTCTCTAACTCACTCGACGTATTGGCAATCTATTAAACGTATAATAATTATTTTCTTATAGTCGAACATTATTTGCTGTATATGCTTTATTCGTATACCCATTACTGTTGAACGCTGTTTATCCGTATCCCTTTATATTCTGTGTCTGGCATTCATGCGTCATCTGAATAACACATCGATTGCCTTTGAGACAGCTCTGCTGCTTTTACTTACTGAAGCATATTGACTGTGCTTTTTGACGGCATCCAGCCATAGACACCTCACAGTTGAGATGTATATATTATATTTCATATTTTGTGTTTAATATAGTACTGTATTATAGGCAAATCCTTTGGATTAATCACATATATCCTAAACTATGTGTACAAAAAACAATAGACTTCAACCTTCGCCTAGCATGGGCTACTTGACTAGTGACCAATCGGTCACTAGTACGTTCTTTTGTTTTATATGACTGAGTAAGTATCATGTATTTTATTTTATTATTGTGAATCATGTTAGTTGTAAAGAGGTTGTAAAGAAATTACGAAATGATATCATCTCGCGAAATTTGTTTTCTAAATGTCTTATTCAAATTTTGTATTTTCGGACTTTACGCGTCACTCAATTAAATTTCCTAAACGCATCGTGCTTTATAATACTGATTGTTTGATATCAGTAGTTGGATGTCAGTCACATCAATCAGTAGTTTCTGTTGGTCAGCCTGATCGAAGTGATCTGAACACCGGGCAGCTGTTTCACTCATTCGGTGTCAAGATAATCAGAAGTGTAACCGGTTTGACTTAGCTCAGACAAATGAATCAGTTAAAACCACTCGAATTCTGTCTAGCTATTACTTGGGTGAACTGGTAGTACATTTAATCAAATTGTCAACTGGCAACACACAATTCGAGATGAAATTTCACCAGTTTCCTTAGGAGTCCGAAATTAGTTAGATAGAAAAAGGATTCTTCAGTGTTTGAACCAGATGGTCTAATATCGAACTCTTGATGGTTTTTACTACACCTCTGTTAAGCCATACTGGTAGGTATTCTTGAGGACGAAAAACTAAATTCCTAGACCAACCAACAGCCAATACAACTGGCTCCACGGGAGCAGTTGAACTGATAGATAGAAGAAAAAGGTGGCTAGCCTAGGTGATTCATCTTTCACTTGAGGAGTTAAAACTGGTTGTCAGCTGAAGCTCATCGGCATTAAAAGTTCTTCAAATCGGTTTTCTTGACTTATTCGTTGTTATTCCGCTTGATAAGTCACTTATATAAGCACTATCTTACTCTTAAAATAAGCTGGCATTTACTCACATTCAGCTGACTACATACTGTAATTGGAAATATTATACATATATGAACAATTTATGTAACTTTAATCAAAAAAAAAAAACTTACCACCTATAGTTCTTGGATATCCAGTGTACTTGTCTAGATTGTTACCAATCACTTTCAAGATAGATCGGAATGTTCTATAGCATAAACAGGTTTTGTTTTTATTTTTATAAAAGAGAAAGTAGGTCATTAGAAAATTGAGATGGGAATCTGTGAACCATTACAATATATCATAAAGAGTGCATGTCAGTACATTATATATTACTATTCCCTCGGGTTCCGAGTGGAACAATGGGAGGACTTCAACAACACATCTTCACTCTGTTTTATGTTCTGTTGTCCTCTTCACCTGGATCCATGTTTGACCATAATCTCTCATCTCCTCCTCATCACAAGATCTCCTCCATGTCACCCTCACACCGACGACCTACTCGTCGCTTCCCATTTGGATTCCACTCGAGCGATGGCCTGCATATATGGCGCGATGTCATTCAATGGCCTCCTCTCCTACATATTTGTTGAGCAATAGGCTCTTGGTTGGTTTGTTCCCAGCCAGAATTTCTTGTTGCCAATTCCTTCTGGCCGGCTGGTCATTTAATCTTCAGTATGGAGCCAGAGAAGGGGGCAACTGTTGATAAAAGTCTGTCCATGTCAGTATCATACGAAATTCCTGAGTCATGTTGGCCAATTTACAAGTTCAAGGAAACATTAGATAATCAAGTTGAAATTATAACAGTCAGCTTGACGTGGTAAAGAGTGAAAATTATTGAATAACATTTTGCCCAATTAATTCATAACTCTTAAACAGGCTGTCTATTTAATAAATTTATACATTGCAGGACTTCATCATGAGCTGACATCAGTTAGAGAACCATTGGAAAACCTGGGAGTACTGGACAGCTGTTTCGTCATAGTTTGGGACTCTTCAGTAGTACGCACCCACCGCCACAGTTCAAACCCAGGGTCTTCTGGTTACAAGGCGGGCTAGCTCGTAGACCATTGAGCAACTGGGACCCGACACAATGGCCCATGAATTCTAATTTCTGCCAATTCACGACATAACGCGACCCCCAGACAATGTCTTCGGCGAGTATTTGTCCTCACACCCGACCTGCTGCACCCTACATTGTATTAAGAGGAAAATAATCCTTAAAAATGTGTTGTTGGATATTAAGGAGAGATAGGAAGAACCATTCTCTTCAACCTGGACTTTTTATTCATTGAGACTGATCAGAAAGATGTATCTTCAATCAGAATGAAACGCAGTGGCAAAATCTCTGGAATCGATATTGAGTAATGCAAAAGAGAGCACATCAAAGTCGACAGACAATCAGCGTTTGACTAAATATGATAAATGAATGGGAGGGGAGTTTCAGTTAGTTTAGTAAATCTGCCAGTTTACGCCGACTCTGGCGTAGACGAGATGTTCGACTATCGACCAAAGGGCGGGTGTACTGCTCATCAGTCCGCTCCGTCCTCCTTTATGGCTAGCTGTGAGACCTGGCCACTCAGAGTGGAAGACATGAAAAGACTAGCTGTCTTTGATCATAGGTGCCTGCGCTCTATTTCCCGTGTAAAGTGGCATAATAAGGTGAGCAACACTGAGGTTAGGCGTCGAGTTCTAGGTAAACAGGGGAAATCAATCGACGAAGTCGTGAAGCTACAAAGACTGAGATGGTTAGGACATGTGTTACGTATGCCAAGCCATCGCCTCCCTCGACGAGCAATGTTAGCGGATATAGGGTCAGGCTGGAAAAAAGCTAGCGGCGGTCAAACAAAAACTTGGCTGCACCAGTCAATGAAATCCACAACAGTTGGTCTAAGCCACGTAGAAAGGTGTAGACTTCCGGGCTGGGGTCCTCGGGACGGTAAAAATCAATGGTTGGAAACAATTGGTGACATGGCTCAAAATCGTTGTCAGTGGCGCAGATGCATCCACTCCTTGTGACTTATGATCTCCAATGAAACTGTTTTGTTTTTCTTTATTACTTCTTTGTCTCACACCTCTGCTCACTGTTTCTATTATGCTTTTCTCGTACTTTCTTCTCTTGCTTCGCGTGCTACACGGAGTGTGGCGACTTGAACTTCCGCACATTTGTGCATAGTTCTATGTCGAAAACAGACAGACAGACAGACAGTAAATCTATGTAGACCAAGACACAAAGGTAGGACCAAATAGGGTTACTTTCCCGAATTCCCATAACTTAGACTTTGTGTAAAAGACGAGTTGGAATTCCTTTCGAAGGGTTTGATGAAATACAATGAGTAACCATGAAAGCCCTTTTTCTGTCCAATTTTTTTCCTTCACCTTCCCCAGTGGAACATAGCGCTTCAAGCTAGTGGCTTGAAGTTTCCGTAGCAGTGTTTATTTTACAGGATGGGGTTGCTAGCCTCATCCCCAACCTTTCATCTTTACCAGCATTATTTCTGGCTTAGCAAGGTAAAGGAGTGCGTCTGTGGCCGGGGATCGAACCCCGGGTCTATCCAATTAGTGACTATTATCAGTCGAATGAGACAAAACTGAGCTTCTTTTAGGTTTTGTATGACCTTTCCTCAGCCATGACACGAGTTGCTCAGAGATGCATTTGTCAAACTGTCTAGTAGCAAGAAACGCTACGCGACATCGCTGAAGAATCATGCGTGGAAGAACATTGGAAGTCTCCGAAGGCGATTCTCAACGAAACGTGTTCAACGGTTCTAGGAAGAAAGAGGAGACAAGACAATGAATGGCTCTCAACGGACACTTGGAAATTAATAGGGGAGCTGAGAAGGCAGCAGGCAAGCGGGACCTGAGGACATTATATCAGATAACAAAATCTCTATCCGGGAAGAGATCAACACAAGCGAAACCTATAAAAGACAGCCAAGGGAACCCAATTACCAAGGAGGAATGACAGATTAAACAGTGGGCGGATCACTTCAGAAAAATCTTGACCGACCATTACCTGCAAACCTTCCAGAAATACCAACAACAGCGCGCATACAACTGCAAGTTGACACCAATCCTCCAAAGAGAGCTGAAGTCTTGAATACAATCAAGCTTCTGAAAGCTGGAAAAGCAGCTGGACCAAATGGAATACCCCCTGAAGCACTAAAAGCGAACCCAGAGACAACAGGGGACTTGATGATGCCATTGCTGGAGAAGGTGTGGAAGGAGGGCAAAGTACCCGAGGATTGGAAGAAAGGATACTTATTCAAACCACCAAAGAAAGGAGACTTACGTCAATGCAAGTACTGGCGCGGAATTATGCTCCTGTCTATCCCAAGCAAAATACTAAGCCGAATCATCCTGGAGAGAATCAAACACGCCGACCTGGATGAAAAACTTCGACCAGAAGAGGCTGGATTCAGGAGAAACAAATCATGTATTGATCAGATCGCCACTCTACCGTTCATCATTGAACAAAGCTTGGAATGGCATTCACCTCTCTATCTCAACTTCATCGACTTTGAAAAGGCCCTTGACAGCACAGTGTCGGTCGAGAGGTGATTTGGAAACTACTTCGCTACTACGGGGTGTCGCCCACAATTATACGTCTCATCCAACAGTTAGTTGTACGACAATCCCGCATGCCAAGTAATCCACAACGGGAAACTTACGGAAGCCTTCGAAGTGAGGGCGGGAGTGAGGGAAGGCTGTCTACTATCACCAATGATCTTCCTGACTGCAGTAGATTGTATAATGCGACAGAAAACGGGAAATGAGGAAACAGGCATAAAATGGACTCACACAAAAAATTTGAAGGATATGGACTTCACCGATGACATATGTCTGATTTCCCACAAACTGGAAGATATGCAAGTGAAAAGCAACAAGTTGACAGAGGAAGAAGCATCAAAGATAGGACTTCAGGCGAACATGGAGAAAACAGAGTTAGGTGATGAAGATTCCTGGCCAACACCAACAGCCACAACAACAGACAACAGTCAGCATAAATGGGAATAACCTGAAAGAATAAACTTCCCTAACCTATTTGGGAAGAATCATTTCAAATACAGGCGAAAATAACGAGGATATCAAAGCGAGAATCGGAAAAGCAAGAGAGGCTTTCACTACTCTTCAGTCTGTGTGGAGGTCAACAGCACTCACAATCAAAAATAAGATCCGGATTTTCGACTACAGTGTGAAGTCAGTGCCACTTTATGGATCAGAGACTTGGCGCGTCATAAATACCATCTCAAACAAACTTCAGACCTTCATAAACAGATGTTTCCTCTAAATACTCAGGGTCAGATGGCCGGCCAGAAAAGATCAGCAACAGGGATCTCTGGCAGTGAGCAAACCAACCAGGAACCGATTGTGAAACAAATAGGCAGGAAGAAATGGAGATGGATTGACTGGCCATACTCTGAGGAAACCATCGAGTGACATCACTAGACAAGCCATTGCTCGAGTGGAACCCGAGAGGGAAGCGGCGACTTCGTCGTTCAAGGGTGGCTTGGAGGACATAATGTAAACAAAGAATGGAACCATAAGGGCAGACAAGGAGCTTGGTGAAAATATTATCTGAAAAACGAAAGAATGAAGACGCGTAGCTGAAGACGTATGTCTTCCAGGAAATAAACGATGTAAAAATAAATAACAATATTGAAAATCAGTGAATATGTGCTTCCATCCCAATGAATGTAGTATCAAACTGCTCACTCTCAAAAACTTTCGAATGAATGTATACTATAATATCACGGATAGTCAAGATACACTCACGAGAAAGTGTTTCAACCGACGTGACACAAACAAACTGATGAATGATGACATGAATACATGGAAAGCATGAATGAAATTAACTAGTCAGATGCAACAGAAATAGGTGTCAGAGTGTGGAATTTTCAATATGTTTCACATGAGGATAGCGATAAGGTGTGAAATGACATTCGACACATCCTGAGTAAATTCAAACAGTGACTTTCTAAATAGTACGCGTAGGCGTAACTCTCTGTGCCCAACACCGAACAACTGATCTCTGTCTGTCTCAGTAGATTGTATAGCAGGCGATTTGTGGAAGTCAGTTCAGTGGAGACCAGAATTCAAATGACCCATGCACACAGTGTGAGCAGAAACCAGTGTTGTACTGCATAGTCAGCAGTCCATACTGTCAGACATGGTTGCAATCACTACTAGGTTGCCGTGTCCCTGTCAAAGCAAGATGGCCTCTCCCGCAGTCGAGAATACTGGTTTCTGTTTTCTTTCGT